AAATCTTGGCTGGAACGCAGGCGCAGCCTCGGACCTGCTACTGCGCACGCGACAAGACGCGCCGAGAGCGCAGCCGGCAAGTATTGCTCCGCGCCCGAGGTCACAACGGCGCGTCGCTCCGATCAGGAGGAGGACCGAGATGCGATGGCTGGACCCCCCTTGGTGGCTGGACCGAAGTCCCGCAGCGCAGATATGCCAGGACCCCATCTAGAGGCCTCCCAAACGAGGTCCTCCTCCTCCTCCTCCGCCTCCTCCTCCTCCTCCCCCTCCCCCTCCCCCTCTCCCTCCCCCTCTCCCTGCTGCTTCTCCTCCTCCTCCTCCTCCTGCTCCTCCTCCTCCTCCTCTCCCTCCTCTCTTCCTCCTCCTCCTCATTGTCCTCTCCTCTTCCTCCTCTTCCTGCCTCCCAAACGAGGTCCTCCTCCTCCCCTCCTCCCCTCCTCCTCCTCCTCCTCCTCCTCCTCCTCCTCCTCCTCCTCCTCCTCCTCCTCTCCTCCTCCTCCTCCTCCTCCTCCTCCTCCTCCTCCTCCTCCTCCTCCTCCTCCAAGTCCTCCTCATCCTACTGCTCTCCCCCCAAGAATGGGAAACTCCTCATTTTTGCCAGGGCTTCTGGACGGATTGGGACCCCAACGCTGCTGGGAAACAACTATTCCCCCGCGGCGGCCATTGCTGAGCAGGAGACGCCCACTGCGTGGGAGGACGAGCGGGATGATGAGGAGGGGTAGGACGAAGTCTACTGCCAACCGAGAGCTTAGAGAGGGGGTCCCGGGCAGCAAGACACTCTGAGATTAGATGTGGTCGGAGGTTTGAGGCGCATCGCCGCTGTATGGCCAATGCATCGGCGATGCATCAGCGCCGTCGGCATTAGAAACATCGGGATCAACATCGAGCCGCATCGCCGACGCATCGGCGATGCGGCTCGATCTTCTGACCCCATTTGCTCCGACCCCAGCAGGGAAGCCTAGACACATGCCTGAGGAAACCAAAGGCACCCGCACTGCAACTCCCTGGACCTCTCTTAGGGCGCGTTCTAACCAGAATTTCGAGGCGAATCCACGGTGGCGACGATAGAGGCTTCCCAGATGGGGTCCGAGTAGATGGGGTCGTAGGATCGTGCCGCATCGCCAATGCATCGGCGATACACTGAGGATGCATCGGCGATGCACGTGGCCGCAGAATGCTGCTACGCACGCGCGAATATGATGCCAACGATGAGGAAACCGCGACATGGATCCGAGAATGGATCAACCCTGCACGGCGAGGGAGGAGCCAGAATGCCCCGTTAGATGACCGGCTCTGAACAATTGATGAAAACGGCAAAGCCGTTTTTCGGAGCTTCCAGAAATCCGGATCTTGAGAACGAAAACGGTTAAACAGATTACCCGAGACGTAGTTACCCAATCCATCTCTGCAACAAGCAACCATAGCAATCAGCCCGCTTGATGCGGATGGTGCCACACACAGAAGCGCAGTGTGTTATGACAGCTACACGGGTCGACTTCAGATTCCACGATTCACGAGACATCCTCTTCCTCCTCCTCCTCCTCCAGCTCCAGGGGAACGATTTCTGGTGATCTGGAAGGCATACACACGAGAGGAAAAAGACTGCCAATAGTATACTTCTGGGAGGTACGATGGGCGACCGCTGTAATCCCCCGATCTGTGGCGACAATTGCGCTGTTGGCAGCCCCCCTAAGGAGCCGCGAGGTCTCGCCTGGATCCGCGTGACAATCCACTCCGCTGGACTTCCCAGGAGCCCACCAAAGTGGCGACAATTGCGCAACTAGCAGCCTCTCAGAAAACAGCGAGGTCTCGCTCGCCTGGATCTGCGTGACAACCCACTCCGCTGGACCTCCCAGGGGCCCACGAAAGTGGCGACAATTGCTCAATTAGCAGCCTTCAGAAAACCGCGAGGTCTCGCCTGCCCGCCGCCTTCGCTGGACCGCACAGGAGCCCACAAAAGTGGCAACAGTTGCGCAGTCCGCAGTCCCCGACGGAGCGCACTGGATGCAGGACGAGACAGGCGAAGGAGATGGGAAACATTGAGGGAGGAGGGGGGGGGAATCAAAACGAGAACCCAATACCCCAAACATGAAAAACATAACGAATTCGGAAACAAAACCTGCCCCGTCGTTTCCAAGAGCCACTAAGCCCCGACCACCTAACCCGCAATTGAATCGAGTTCTGATGCGCACCTCAGCTGAATGGCTGGGCGCTGGCAGATGATCATGTGCGACCCGCGCCCTTCTTCTTGGTAGGCAGAAGGGCAGGAGAAGCGGATCTACGTCTGCCCTGACAGCTGACAAGAACTGCAGGAGGATATTCCCGACGTCCTCCGTTTCCCCTCCTCCTCCTCCTCCTCCTCCTCCTCCTCCTCCTCCTCCTCCTCCTCTGCATCCCCCTCCTCCAAAGAGCGCCCGCTATCGCAATCAAAACGGGGGCTGCACCTTGCGCGCTGCACCAGCTCTGCCTGCAGCTTCTTGGACATGCCAGGGAAGTACTCCTGGGACCGACCAGCGGCGGAAGTGCAGCGCACGAGGAGGGACACGAGCACATCGCAAGATGAGCACGAAGGGTCCCGCCCACAACCCTGGGACTGCGGCTGTCCGCTTGGGCTCTATTCCCAAACCTTGCCATCACTCGGGCGACCTTGATGTTTGCATGTTTCGGCTCCGTGTGCTTATTTTCTCGCGAAATGATCCCACATGCTCCTCGATGTTCCTCGCCGAAGAAAACCGCACACGTCTGAGAACTACCAAGAAACAACTGTGCTGACTGGGGCTCTTTTGTGGTGAGAACTAAAATTCCGCCCGAGGGAACCCCGCACACGGACATCCTGAACAATCTGAGGTACTCAGACCTGATCCGCCTCGGCCGTTTTCACAACTCTCGTTGCCGAATTGTCCAGGACTAGGCCGCTTCGCTTGCGACGTCCTCGCGACTCTGGACTCTCAGATGCGCGCGCGAGGTGGTCCTCCCGTTTCGCCTGAGACATCCTCACAAGTCTGGGCTCCGAGATGGTCGGGATGGAGATGGTCTGGCCCATTTCGCCTGAGTCTTCCTCTCGCCTTTAGGCTCCGAGATGGTCGGGATTGACGTGGTCCAGCCCGTTTCGCCTGAGACATGGTCGCACCTCTGGGCTCCGAGATGCCGCGCGAGATGTGGTCCGACCTGATTCGCCTGAGACAGCCTCACAAGTCTAGGCTCCGAGGTGGCTTGCGTTGTAATTGTCGGGCCCACCTGTATCGCCTGAGACATTCTCGCAAGTCTGGGCTCCGAAGTGCCGCGCGAGAGGTGGTGCGGCCCGTTTCGCCTGAGACATTCTCGCAACTCTGGGCTCCGAAGTGCCGCGCGAGAGTTGGTGGGGCCCGTTTCGCCTGACATCCTCGCAACTCTGCTGTCCGAGGTGCCGCGCGACAGGTTGTGCACCAGCCCGTCTCGCCTGAGACATCCCTGCATTCCTGGGCTCCGAGATGCTTCGCGAGACGTGGTCTGGACCGTTTCACCTGAAGCATCTTCGCACCTCTAGGTTCCCGACCTCGTCGCCGCCCGTCGTTTGGGCTCATTTGTCGGGTCCGCCACCTTGTTGCTGTCGTCGCCACCCCGTCGCCGCTTCTGCACAGACAATGTCGGTGAGAGATGCTCGATCTTTTCAGCCGCCAACGATGCCTTGAATAAGCATGATTACGGAACGCATTATAAACTACTGCGTGCATTCTACAAGCTGCAAACTGCAAGCTGAGCATCAACCGGCTTTTCAGGCCAACTTTCTATGTAGCTTGGTCCAACTGTCGTGGAACTCAAAACACACGTTCGTTTAGTGTTTGCGCAATGCACGTACGGGAACACAATTGGTCGGGTCGTCTGATTGGGTTTTAGCCGTCACTACTTTTGTCAGATTTGTTCGACGCGGGACACCGTTTTGAACCAAACTGTTTTCGCTCAACGAAAACTCTGGCACCACTAGAATCTGACGCAAGTCTTATCGGAACATCTTGTTCGTTCTGAGCCCTGACACTCAAAGAAACGCCAAGGTCCTGAGCCAGACGCTGAAGGAGGAACCCAATAGCGGCTCCTTTTCAAGATAGAATCGAACCTGCTATCCCCGCGATTCAAATGGTTGGTGGCCACATTTGACCACTATTCCTGAAGTAACTTGCTGGTCGCCAGACGCCATGCGTTGGCACTATCTACATCCATTGTTACTTCCGTGGGCGCGCACTGAATTTCAAAACGGCACGACAAACAACGATGGGCAACCAGGTGCTTACGTAGGCTCTTCACACCTGATTCTTTCTCTCAGGTGGGGGGCATCATGGATCTTCAGAGGGTTTTGGTGGCCTCACCTAGAGAGTGTCGGTCCAAAATTTTAAGAATGCCGCACACATGGCGAGATACCAATGTGAGTGGATCCCAACAACTTCCAGCACAGGAAGCTTATCTCTCCCTCTCTGTCTCTCTCTCTCTCTCTCTCTCCCTCTCTGTTCCAGGCCTCGTGCGAAAAAGCTTGGCAATCGGATTGTTTCCCACATCCAGCTCGCGCGGAATAATATCGATTTGCCTCTGGCCAATTTTTATCCCGACTGACGGGAGAAAACTGGCGACACGGAGCACGATGCTCAAACAACCGGTTTCTTTCAAAATGGCCAGCCCGGGGCCCAACGTACCGCTGAATGTTGTAATGTGCCGAACCCCGAGACAGCGATCGACCTCTGCTAACGCGACCTCATATCCCAAGACCACGAAACAATCGCCGCGAACGGCCCCTCGGGCTCGGCCGCGCTCCCTGAATATAAGAGCGGCCGAAACTACGCCTTGCGCCCAGACTTCGCTAACTAGACGAGCGACGGAATCTGCCAGCTAGATCTGCGAAACGTCCTGGGTGCAAGAAACAAACGATTTAAACGCTTGCACTTGCCTCCTGAATCGCCCTCTTCAGAAGGCGGATGACAACATCATGCTGGACCTCTCCATGCATGGGGGCTGTGAGCGGTCCCAAAAACAAAGCTTTTTCACTCTGAACTGTGTTTGGATAGTGTCTGCGGGACAAGCGGGGCGACTAGGAGGCTGATGGCCTCAAGCGGGACGGTTCCACCAAGCAACTCACTAGCACTGAGCTGCTCACTGAGCATTTTGGTTCGCTTGGCCCCCTCCGCCGCAAACCTTGAGCGACACCGTGCTCGTATGTGATCGCCTTTGCTCGCCTCGATCCACCCCGTGTTGATCGGACCCTTTTCTGTCGCACTCCATCACTCCGATTCATCGCAGGCCGCGTGGCCCGGCTAGCGATTGATCAAATCCATCTCCACCTTCCGAGCCTCTCGGACCTGACCCGACCAGCCCCCGTTGGGGTTGCCCCAGAAGCCGTCGTTGGGGCCCCCGTCGGCTGGGGCATCAGGCATCCCGATCTCGATCTTCTCACCTGGAACGTGCCCTGCACTCGCGGTGCTACTGATCTTCCCATATCGCTTAAGCTCTTCCTTCAAAACCTTTGAACTCATCCTCTTCAAGCTCATCGCGTAAAGCCTAGAGACCCAGGCTTTGCTTCTCCCCAGGAGATGGGCATGAGCATGCTTGCCGTTGCGCCTGCGACTGCAAACCCCTGCGAACTTCTTGCTATTCCCGATGCGTCAAGTTGCTTTCACCAGGAGTTCCAAGGCGCCCTCCATGTCTGCTTCCATGGCCGAAAGGCGCATATAATCGCGCGCGTGCGCTCCAGGCTCCGACGCGAGCGGGGCCACGTTTGGGTCTCTCCCAGACCTTGCACTCCACGGGTGTTTGCACAAGAACAATCGGCCACGGTCGTGCGTCCTTCGGCACTGCCGAATGCCCACAAGAAGCAGCTCTTTGCCATCCACAACATTTCTATCGTGATCGCCCCCATCGTTGAACTTGCCCCCGTTCGAACTTTGCAAATGCGAGAACTTCGCGCGGGCAGGTGGCCAGCGCAGGAATAACGGTCACCCTGGCCAACCGTCCTCCTGAAAACGCAACTGGTAATGGTCGAGACTCCAATCGAACAGGCTGCAATTCTCGCCCGGGATCTTGAGATCGGCGGCAAATCTAGGCAACGAGCCGAGCGAAGCTGCAAGCTCGGTGAAACATCCTGGATTGAACGACTCACCAGCGGCGAAGGACTGCAGCGCCAATGGCGCGACGTCCACAATCTCCACGCTGCTTATGCTCATGGCATCCGTGCCCGCCGCGCCCATCGACGAGGCTGCCAGAGCACCGGAGCTCGTCTCAGAGGCCGCACCGGGTTTCGCAACGGCCCCAGGTGGCTCGAGCACGCCAGCCAAGCCTGAGCCAGAAGCCCGCTCCTCTTGCGGTCTCACTCTCGCGGTCGACTCCAGCAGGACATGTCACAGCCGGCGACGCTGGAGACTTGAGCGCCGCCGCTCCGTCTGGCAACCCTCGAGCAGTCTGTCGCCGTGCATCCTCAGCTGCTCTCGCCGCCGCTCGAGATTGGGCGAGCGATGTGGCCGCCAGTGGTAGCCCAGGGGCAGCTCCTCCTCCTCGTGGCGGTCGACCCCCACCTCCATGTGCATCGGCGCCAAGTGCTGGCGCAGCAGCCGCAGCCGCCGCTGGCCCCGCGCCTCGAGCCCCTCGAGCTCTCGCCGCGACGAAGCTCAATGATTTTGTCGTCCCCGATGCTCGCGAGGTCCACTAACACTATCGTCTTGCGCTAGACTCGGCAAGGCGGCTCAGAACAGCTGAGATTCGCTGGCCCCGGGCCCGGAGCTCCCCGGTCGCCCCGCAGAGTAGCCGACCTCGGCCAGAATGGCCTCCGTCACGTAGAAGCCCCTGATGACCACTGGCCCCGCGGGTGGCGTGGCCAGAGCCGCAGGCGGAGCAGCCGCTGCTGAAGCAGCTCAGGCAGGTGCTGGCGCAGCTGCGACTGCGCATTCACCTCGCCCTCGCTGCCGCGCCCAAAATCCACCCTGGACCTCCAACGCGTCTGGGCACCGGGTCCATCCTTCGACTGGATCGTCAAACTAGCCCTGTAGCATGCTGAAGACCGTCCTTTTTGATCAGCAGCGCGGTCGCACTTCGACTAGAGCGGCCCATGTAGTATCCGTCGATGCATCTCGACTCGGGATCGTCCTCGCGCCCGCGATGGGCATCTTGCCCTTTCCGCGATCCCCATGTGCAACGCTCGCTCTCTTCAGCTGCCGACCTGTCCGAAGCTCCTCTCCAATGCGGCCATCTGGTCCAGCGCGATATCCATCGATTACTAAGGTTGCGTGCCGGAGGGCCCGCGGCGCGATGGGGCAGCCGAGCGGGGGCCGCTGGCGGCAGCCCAGGAAAGATGGCATGCACCTGCGCCTCGATGATATCCGCGGCGCTCTTCGCCCCTCCGCGCGCCTCGTGGTCGCCGACGAGCGACTCTTCTGGGGCATGTCCCGGTCCTCGCACTCGTCCGCGATGGCCTTCTTGAGCGCGGGGGCGCCTCTTCGACGCCAGAATTAAAACCTGGCCTCTCGCACGCAAGGTCGGTCAGGC